AGGGATAGGCAGCAGCGTCCATCTTAATACATCTGTAAAATCCTAACTGCGATTACCAACTCGCTTGCCAAGCGTGGTAACTACTAGAAAAACCCCCCTTATGGGGAAAACTTATGTTTCAGCAGTGGACAGTTATCGGCGGAAATAATAAAAAATTATTAAAAATAGTAACGAATGCTGTGCTAGCTGCCATTAGCCGATCAAAACACGACTTTGTGTAGACGCATCCGTCCGTAACGTCGGACAGGTATTCAGGTTTGTTCATTACCGCGCACCTCAATCACTGGCGCCGCTGTAATTACAAGGAACTGATGGCTCCATTACCCGCCTCTGTATACAACACATTTCGGTTTACAATCCTCACCGCCTGTACAGTGGATTCGGAATCGTTAGCGGTATATAAAACTAAGAATACCCATAGTTATAGTATATAATATATATATTTTTTTTTTGATGGGTGAAAATGGTATGGTAGTCCCCCCTGCGCTAACGGGATACGCTGGCGGAGCACCAGTGAAGGGTGATAGATGAGAATGAAACAGGCTAGTTAGCCTATCATGATGAATTCATCAGGAATTAACCATGATAGTTTCCAGGGTGGACCGCCAGGAAGTTGGCCTGGTTAGGTATATTGCTAGCAATGGGATTATCAGTCTCCATTACTAACAATTCCTTTCCCCCAGAATATTATATATTAGGATGAATATTTGGTGAATAAAAAATTCAAACACGAAAATGCAATAAATTTCCTTGATATTATAATTTTTTTTACTGTAAATGTGGCATTATTGAATTTCTTTGTGTTTTTTTTTATACAACTTAGAATGGCAAACAAGCTGACGGTCCACCTGATGGAAAGTGGTAACCGTCGCCTATAGACATGAGCAGTACTATGGACATAACAGAGTATACTGTTTCATCCATGATACCACCCATGCGTTGCCATTCCTGAGGACTCAGGTGTTATTTCTCTGTACCCAGTAAATTCACGCCATATCCCACCCTTTAAACCGAAACACAGCCATGCAAACACAACTGCAACAGAGGTACCCAAGCAATCGACTTTTGTACAAAGTCTCCCTCTGGTAATATATATATATATATATATATATATATATATATATATATATATATATATATATATATATATATATATATATATATATATATATAATTCGTTCAGTAGTTTTTGCCTGAAAGAGTTACAAACTTTTGCATTTATAATATTAACAGGATCTATTATATTTAGTTCCGAAAATAATTCCACTTCAATTGTGATTGTTATCTAAGTCCATATTCGTCTGATATTCCGGGAATCAGGGTATTATTCCTCTTGTATAAAGATTACTCTGGCTATTTATTTATATATCTAGTTATATATTTATCATTCGGACTGAAGCGTAACAAAACGTGCATTGTTGCTTCACGGTAAAAATAGTAAACTTTTTCCTATCTGAGTATAAATAGCAAAAAGGTTGAGAAGAAATAACCAATTAATGAAATAACAAATAAAAATATTTGTCAATTTATTTCATGCTAGAAAATTTATCGATAGACACGTTTTCTCCACTGCAAGTGTTATGTCCATGGTACTGCTCATGTCTATAGGCGACGGTTATCACTTTCCATCAGGTGGGCTTATCACTTTCCGTCAGCTTGTTTTTCAAGCAATTCTAAGTTGTATAAAAAAAAATTTGGTACACGGATAGGTTATATCCTAAGTTATCATTTTTACCCATTAAAAAACTATTTGTTACTGTGTATGTACTCGTATATATATACTACCTACCTACATTTATTAATAAAAATCATACTAACTACTTTAAATATAATAAAACATTAAAGTTGTTATTATACCAAATTTGGTAATAAATTATTCTTGTAATGTATATAGAACACTAATATTTAATATATTATTAGTGTTATTATAAAATTTTATCTTCGATTTTTTATCTAACTTAACTACTATAGAAAAAAAAAAACAATAAACAGAAAAAAATATAATGTACGCCGTATGGTCTAGCCATAGAATGGGCTGCGTCTTCCTTTGTTTTGGGTGTCGTAAAAGATGACTAAGGGAAGCTAATGGTCGAGGGATGAGCAGCAGCGTCCCTCTAGTATATTATATATAATATATAATTAGTAATACTAATTATATAGTTATAATATAAATTATTACATTTGAATTAATTTTATAATTATTTATTGTCATGACAGTTGAATAAAAAGTAATGAAATTGTAAGAACACGTGGTCTCACTGACTTGTTCACTCGAATTCGACCCTGTAGATATAAAAGATTGTTATATGGGTGGGGACACACTTCTTGTCCAACCGTTGAACAGAGCGGAGCTCCCTGACGTATCAAGAGTGAACAAGTATAGTAAACAACGTGGTCATTATATAAAATATATCACAATTATTGTTGATGGAAGTCCTAAAGAAGCTATAGTTAAATAAGTGTTAATGGATTAACAGAAATTGGGTATTTATGTTATATTATTTATTATATTTCATATACAAAGTAAAATAAGTAAATATATGATTTAATAGTATGATATCTAAATTAAATGAACTGTGAGAACTTTTGCTTTATTTATATTTATTACTAAGAGGCTTACAACGTTTATATTGCTAAAGAATTATCATATACCAAAGTAAAGTTAGAATTACATACTTAAATTATTATATAAACAGATTATTCTTTATTGTACACAAACGTGTAATGTAAAAACAAACATAATAGTGCACAAAGGCGAGCTTATCTCCAATAGAGATTTCTTCCAGCAAACCCAATATGAGAAAACTGACAGTTCATTAGTAGTTACAGTCGTACATGTGTACCAATCGACATAAATGTTATAGTTAAAAATAAATAAATAAAAATATATATAAGTAAATACATATAAATACATCAGCATTGTGAGAGGTAATAATTCTTCAGACGTTATTTGAAAATCCCAATGCTTGGGCTATTTTATTATATATCTATAATCCTACATAACATATATATTTAAATAATAAAAACCCCTTTTTGAGAAGTGCATAAATTTAAATGTATGGAGCACTATGTTACTGAAGATCTTAAAGGTCAAACTCATGTCGAAAAGGAGCGTAGGGCATTGGCTGTAAGATGTATAATCGGTGAGAAATCGGAATCCATGGAACACTTGATATGTAACTGTGATTCGTTGGCAAGTATGCGTATGAGTCTACTGGGAACGGCTTATCCAGAGCCAGGGGACTACAGATATCTTAAACTGCGGGATATCGTAAAGTTAACACATAGGATCTATGAAATGATGGTATAAGGCAGGGGGAAGCACAAAAGATCCGTATGGGTCGACGTGCAACGGCTTAGCTGACCCCATGTGCGAAAATAAGATAAGAAGAAGATGTAATATATTGGTCCGCAGGTCTCCTCGTTGTTGAAGTTAGATAAGCCCTACCTTGCTAACAAGTTGTTAAACTAACCGCTGTATATATTGTTCAAGTGCAATAAAGAATCTAAAGATATATAAAAAATCAAGCTTCTAAATCGACGCAATCAAAAGATACGGCCGTTTGTTCCATTTATGTCGAATATTTTGACATTCGCAAAGAGAATCAAAACCTATAGGGTATTTCCCGTTGATCTAGAATCATGAAATTTTGTAAGAAGCAATGTCATGTAGCACAAGTAAAGGAAAAAATCCGAAAAGAGTAAATTTGAATTTTATTCACAAAAAAAAAAATAAACTTGATGATTTTGTACGAAACCCTCGTTGCGCGAGTCTGACTCACACTTGACCGGCTTTTGTTTTTACTAATATAGTTTGTAAGGAAATTCTTGCTAACAAAATGTACTAAATTGTAATATGAAAATAAAAATTATTATTTTTGGTTGTGATTTTTTTGAATCATAATATACCGTCATAGCCGTAGAATACTGACGGATCTGACAAATATTACATATAAAGATCCGTCAGTATTCTACGACTGTGACGATATATTGCATACGTTTTTGAACTTTGACATTTGTATACGAGTACAATGATGTATTAGCCTTTTACATACAAATAAAACAATACAATTGTGTACAATTTGTTTCTGTCTCGCTTAATGGCCGTTGGTATTGTATCAATTACTATTGTTGTAAATGTTAGGTACTTTATTGATAATCATTTATTTTCGGACTTTATTAAGCGTGTCTAGATGATTGTAAAGCTCAAATTTGTTTGAACGTCTAGAAATATATACGCTGTATAAATGGTAATCTATCTTGAATATAATAATAAACTGTGATGAAAAGAGCCAATGCAATATGGACCTTATATGTTAGAATTATACTATATTCATTATGATTATATCAACCGTTACCTGTCCACTGCTGATCATGGGTCTCCGCCAGAAGGGGGTTTTTAGTTGCCACGTTTAGCAAGCGGGTTGGCAAGCGCAGTTTGGCTTTAGTGCTGTTTTAAAAGGGACACTGCTGCTCATCCCTCGACCAGTAAGTTCCCTTAGTCATCTCTTACGACACCCAAGACAAAGAAGACTTTTTTTTTATTATACAACTTAGAATGGCAAACAAGCTGACGGCCCACCTGATGGAAGGTGGTAACCGTCGCCTATTGACATGAGCAGTACCATGGACATAACAGAGTATACTGTTTCGCCCATGATACCCCCATGCGTTGCAATTCCTGAGGACTTGGGTGTTATTCCTCTGTACCCAGTAAATTCACGCCATATCCCACCCTTCAAACCTAAACACAGCCATGCAAACACAACTGCTTCACGGTTGAAACACGAATGGGACAGAGGCACCCAAGCAATCGACTTTTGTACAAAGTCTCCCTCTGGTTGGCTAACTGACTTGCCTTTTCATCCTCACATATCATCTCTCACTGGTGCCTAGTCAGCGTATACCATTAGCGCAAACGGGTTTGCCATTCCATTATCATACATTTTTTTTCATATTAGTAGTTACATTTGAAACAAGTTTGTAATATTGTTGCACAGTTGTGGGAGAGCAGGCAGCCTGGCTGCGACGCCCGGTGAGAAGCTTCTAGAACTTCTCCGGCCCAGCACGGGAACACCTCGGCGGCACTCCACAGCGGCCTGCGCCCCGCAGCCGCCGCGACCTTCTGGATTTGTGTACTGTCCGTCAGACGCCCTGCCGTACTGTCCACCGTCCAGGCTAGCTCCACCAAGGCCTATACTAAAGGTTAGTTTGGCAAAGTATATTAATGTAATAACGTAGTTTGTTTGTTTGGACATGGTAGTCATTGGAACAACCAGTCAGAATTGAAAAATTATTTTTGCTATTGATAGCTTATTTGTTGATAAAGGTATATAAACTATTTCATATAACGATTGGCTTAAACCACTTCATATTTATTTTATTTCAATACGTACACATTACAGAGAATTAACAATGTTACAATAATTTATACGGTACAATAATATTTTATTCAAGTTAACCCTCCAAAAATATGCGTACGCAGCATGATTAAAACATAAACACATAGCTAAATAAGTATGTAAATACAATATAATTTATTAGCTAGCTAGTTATAATATATCGCTAGTTATATATAACTAGCTATAATACATAGCTAGTTATATATAACTAGCTATAATATATAGCTAGTTATATATAACTAACTGTATACAGTAATATGTATCTATAAGAAGAACGTAAGTTGGAAAAAGAGATAATAAAATTAATAAAGTTTTACGCTTTGCAAAGAATCTCTTCGTTACGCCGCAGATATTTCGCTAACAATTTGAAACGTAGCGATAGTAATACTTGAATTTCAATAGTTTTTCAAAGAAACGAGGGTCGTTTCATACTCAGTAATATTATGAATCTGAAAATGTGTTTGTTTGTTTGTTATCTTAATTTTTTAGGTCTTCGAAAAGTACAACAGTTTATCTATTTTTATATTTCATTAGAATTTATTGGAAAAAGTTCGGTTTCTTAAATACTATCACTGGGTTTCAAGTTAATACAACTAATCCTTTCCAACGAACCAATTCCAATAACTCTGTAATAATATGTGCTATTACATTAAAATATATACTCGCCCTCGTGTCACAGCCGCTTAAGAATAAGGATTATGAATTGATTCAGAAACTAGTCGAGCTTTTTAGATCTTATTACATGTAAGTTAAACCTGTAGTAATTACATTAAAATAATATCTATTGTTGCAGCTCCAGCCACCACCACAGATACAGCAACCGCCGGTGCAGCCCCAACCACCGCCACCTCCAGTACCCCAACGTACTGCTCCAGTCACGCCAGTGCCCTTACCTGTTCCACCGCCAGCTCCGCCTCGGCGCTCCTCCCCGCAACCGCCCCGGCGGGTCCCACCACCGACACCGCCTCGACCGTCAACGAGTCCGGCCACTGACCCCAACGGCAACCGTCGAATTGTCTCTGTCCAACCACAGCCACGGCTCGACTGCAACAGAAATCCCCAGCCGCCAGTCCCGAGAAGACCTCCGCAAAAAATGCCAGACACTCCTTACACACCTGCACCTTTGCCTCAAAATAATCAGACAATAAAGCGTTCGCCAAGTTCAGGCTCAAATATTAGCATCCGGCAAGATTCCAACGTGTCCTCGGATTCGTTCAGTCAAACGTCCTCACCGTCGTACACTACAAAGACAATGGAAGCACCGCTACTGCCACATCAGCATGTGAACAAGAGCCTCAATGCGAAAATAGCACGAGGACTGCTGCTCAAAGAACAGCAGGAGAAGGAATCAGGGAACTCGTCCATCACAAAGAGTATGTCGACACCGGCGTCGCTACAGACGATTGTGAGGTTCCAAAATGGGAGCAACATGTCGCTACATCATCGGGTGAGTTCTTCATTTTGCTTATTATTATATTCCTGCTTATGTATATAGAAATTTTATTTCAGAATCATGATGACTAAACCATCTTTCAAAAAAAGCGTTAACGCACACTTTTTATTTTTATCCGAGCGGTAAGTACTTTATATTATTCTCAATTTCGTGTGTAATATAGTATATGTCATATATGTGTAAGTATATTTGTTATTTATATATATTTATTCGTTTATATATGTAATTTTAGTATGTATGTATATCAATAATTAGTAGTACCGCATTCGAGTATTCTGACACTTCCCTATGGTTGACTGGGAGAGAATGCTTTTAGCATTAAGTCCGCCATGTACACATATTTGTACTAATGAATAAATAAATGATGACGACATTCTTTTGTAACACATTATAATATGTTAACCATTACCTGAGTCCTCAGGAATGGCAACACATGGGGGGTATCATGGGCGAAACAGTATACTCTGTTATGTCCATGCTACTGCTCATGTCTATAGGCGACGGTTACCACTTTCCATCAGGTGGGACCGTCAGCTTGTTTGCCATTCTATGTTGTTTATAAAAAAAAAATGAAATTATTAAATTAACTGTTTTAATACAGTATAAGTGTGAAAATAATAAAATTTAACTAAATAAATCCGTCTACAAAAGACATTCTCTCAAAATGGGCCTACCATTAAATGAATAAAGACTTTAACCTAAAAAAACAAGCAACTCGCAATTGTATACGGAAAGTGAGTACAATATTTTTCTACAATTTTATTAAAACACACAGCAACCGGCTTAAGTCCTCGTCAGTTCCATTTAATAAATCCCCGACGGCGACGCTCCAAGGGTGCCTACAGAGATGACGTGAATTTATGTTGTACGGATATTTGATAAGACTCCTTTTTTCACGGTCCGCCCTTGGGTTTCAACTAGTAACAGCCAAATCTAAATTTGGAACAGCTGTTGCTATGTATCTCTTAATTATTTTATCGTTCATAATTAACAAGATCAGGATAGCTTTCAAATTTCGGTTCGTGGCTTACATTCGTTTTCTATTATGCCATCGATTTTTTTATTTTTAGCTTTAAATTTCAAGTATATCTGAATCAAACGATCGTATAGAAAATATACCAGATGTCATCTTCAGTTTTTACTATTAACAACACGTTTAGAGATTAATTTTTATTCATATATATATTTCACAGTTAGTTGTAAAACATTGGCAACATTTTAAAGATCCAATAAAATGAATACAGTTCTAAATTTTGTTGTTTTTTGTTTGTTTGCGAGATCTTTGTCAGGCTATCGTCCCTTCGTATTCGCCTTGAGTATTCAGCAAAGATGCAAGTTTTACAACTGTTTAATGGTTTGTAATAACTGTTTTAGTACTTACCAATAGCCGTTTCTATCACTAATATACTGTTGTAAATGTCTCACAAACAGAACGTTCCTTTTTTAATAGTATTCCAAAAACTAAGAAGTGTTCAGTTTGCAGTAAAACGCTTTTTTGTAATTACCTTTGTTTCTTACTTTTTCTTCTGGACTTTTCGATACGTTTGTTGTTAGGATTTTCAAAAAGAAAAACATTTTTTACTGGGATCAGACAGCGAATCATTACTATGATAATTAATACTTTTACAAATACGAATAGTAAAGTCAAGTTTTCAGAAATCAATCGAACAAAATGAGCATTACTGCTTCATCAAAGCGATATTATCGAAAGTTGAAATCTAAATTATAAGCCATTAAGCCTTTTACCAGAGGAAGACTTTGTACAAAAGTCGTTTGCTTGGGTACCTCTGTCCCATTCGTGTTTCAACCGTGAAGCAGTTGTGTTTGCATGGCTGTGTTTCGGTTTGAAGGGTGGGATATGGCGTGAATTTACAGAGGAATAACACCTGAATCATTCCTGAGGAATAACACCTGAGTCCTCAGGAATGGCAACGCATGGGAGGTACCATGGGCGAAACAGTATACTCTCTTATGTCCATGGTACTGCTCATGTCTATAGGCGACGGTTACCACTTTCCATCAGGTGGGCCGTCAGCTTGTTTGCCATACTAAAAAAAATTAAGTAAACGTAATATACATATATGAGTATATAATAATGTTAAATAAACATACATAATTATATATTATTTCAAATTAAACATAAAAGACTGGCATATAAAGGAACAACACATATCCTAAGGAGATTTTACACAATGTTTCTTTTTTTCACTCCCATAAAGAAAGAAAAGTATTTAATCTGGAGACAGTCCAACACGACTCTTTAAACGTAACGCCGACAAAGGTTTCTAATCAACGTTCCTTACACGTGTCACATACGGTGAGGCACACCCCATCCACCCTGCACGCGTGGAAGTGCAGTATAAGAATAAATAAACCGGGTAGAGGCGACACTTTGTGAGAGCGACAACGCCACCAAAATGTACATTTCTTTCTTCCGGACCTTGCGCAAGTTGGAAGGGTTGTCACAAATTTATTCGAATTTAGCAAGTAATTTTTCTACATGTGCGATTGTGCGGATGAACATTAGTGCAGTGTCAGTTGCTTGTAAGCCCTGACTGTTGAGGGCTGTCGGCGCGCCAAAGTAGTTGAATTCTCGAAACGTCCGTTCTATCCGGATATTTATTCTTATAACTATGGCTCACAGCATATATGTTGTTTACTGTAACCGAGATTGCAGATGCATTACTTACTTGCACGCTAGTAAAACTAATCTTGTGGATGATACTAGCTGCCTATTGGTATATTTTGTCGGTTTTATTGTTGTACACTTAAATTTATGTTCGCGAGGAGATTTACGGGAAAAGATTTTATACAACTTAATGGAAAATGTGATCGACCAAGTATTTTGTTTCGCTGATTAATTTTGTTTTCTGATCAGAATAATCTGTTCAAAGATATAAATCAAGAAATGGATGTAAATTTGTTGATTTTGATCATCGAAACGGAGGAAGAATTTGGATCGGCACAACCTCGAATCGATAGCATTAGTAAGGTGCAAAGATTGCATAGATTTTCAAAATGAATATTGTATTGATATAATTATGAATCAGCACACAATTTTATATAGAGAAACTTAAAATAGATAGGAGTAGAAATAAGAAACCTATTGATTAGTACTATTTCTAAAAATAAATCACGGGATAAAGCAATGTAAAGATACGCCACGATGAACCTATTCCAGAATGAGCTTTTGTGGAGATCATATCATGTAGAGATAGTGTAAAAATATATATGATAATTATTGTGAAATAAGTAAGATGACATATTTTATCAAGATTTATTAAAAGTGAGCAGTCTCAAAGAACAAAAATCCACTTTACACAAATTTATTTATTTATTTATTTAAGGAACACCAACAGCATATTGCATTAAAACATATAGGTATAACAAACTCAATAGGACGAGTTTAATAGGTTTTTACTGCTGGGAACGTAATATTAATGGACAATCAACGTACTCTTTGGCGGATTATGTGAACTTTATTATAATTAAGAGGGTTTTTTTAATATTTTCTCTCCCCCTGATATAACAAACTTGAATTATTTTATATGTCAATTAAAATTTCCGACTAATTAATTTTACGAAGATCCATTATACGATGATAGGTATACGTCCTGGAGCACAATGAATTTTAATATATTCGGTGATATGTGGATAAATAATTGCCTCAACGGCAACAGTTGACATATTACTTTAACTACCCTTTTTAGATATACAGTTATGGCCCTCATTTATCTCACTTATAACACACCACGCCTCTCGCTGAGTATAATATCTTATTTTCTTATAAGTAGGAGTTAATAGGCGATGAAACTAATGTAAAAACAAGAGGTAATGTAAAAAAAAATTTAGGATAGACGAAAATGTTCCAAAACACAAACAAAAAGATAGATGTACTTCTTGAATTTAAAAAGTAAATAAAAAAAGCAATATTATATTATCACTTTCCATCAGGACCACTAGACCAGATCCTGATGTAATATCTGGAATAACAAACAAGCTGTGTGACCACTCTCTGCTTGTTTGTGATTTCAGATTCCATAAAAATATTTCGTCTCAGACACCAGCGAAATTGTGGAGAGAGATGCATTTTATTCAATTATTTTATTGGCTTTTATACGGCCGGTTTCACTTGTCTCTACCAACGTTCTCTGATTTCAAATCCCGCTCAAAGCCAGATAACGTTCCACTACGGATTACACCGTTACAGTTTCTGATCGGTATCCCTTCCGCAACTACAGTTTTCAGTTTCCTTTTCCCTAGAAATCCCTAATTTCTTTTTTACCAACTTCCTTCATTCACTTCTAACGTGTTCCTTCTTTCCTCAATTCTTTCCTTCATACCGTAGGAATCATCGTGGATACCATCAACAAATGTGTAATTAAGGAGAATTGATGTTAGGCAAGCAGCCGCTCGTAAAAAAAAAGCCATAACCTTATGTAATATATACAAAATCATATTACATCGGCCTCAAATAAATGAGATAAAAGCAGGAAGATGATAACTGGGCGCTCTCTCTATCTTTCTTCTGTGAGAAAAGGAAATTAGCCTCGATTACTACACGAGCCGGTCGGCTTTGTATGAGGTTTTTTTAACCAAATGGTTTCTTAAAGGGTTATATTTTGGCAGTATAATTCAAGTATAATGAATGGCATATAGACATTTTATAACACCCTGAGAATCATAGTAGTAACATATTATACACTTACTTCGTTATTTCATTAACACTCCATTCCATTTGTTTATTTTTATTTGGCAGTACCGTGAAGTGATAGAGACGAAAAATAAACCCGTTCTTTCTGTACATTTGTAAATCCGGATGACTGACAGACAGACGTATCGCATAAATTCTAAATCCCGTTAACTTCCCGCCGTTTCTAACCCAGTTATCAGGCTGCAGGGGATGCAAGTAATAAAACAATGTCGCGTTAGTTACGCTCACTGAACTCGCTGAGCGCATCAACACCAAGATTGTGCAGACGCGTTTTATTTTGTGTTTCTCGTTTAACTATTTCGCTTTCAGTTACAAAATCTTATTATTTTGTTTGGATTTCCATTGATTTATGTATTTTACGTGATGTATGTCAATCGTTTATCAATTTTGATGTTTTTCTATTTAGTATGAAAGTTTAAAACTCAATTGTTCCAAAATTAACTTGTTAGTTTTTTTTTCTTTGTAGTCGATAAGAATACACTACAAAAAATTGGTGTCAATTATATATTATACTTACATAAAACCAATCATCAATATCATCATCGTCATCATCATCGATATCAAACGTATCAAAGCTAATAATATTATTGACTTTCTGAGTAGCTAGTGTGGATTGTATTTGTACAATCTTGGTGCATTAACATTTACTTCGGTAATGATATTCCATAATGTTGAAAACTTAGTTTTGCGTAACGGTGATAGCTCAGTTAGACATATTTGGAATATTTGCAAATAACTGCCAATCGCTTTACGCTTCGCAGGGTTAGGTACCCTGCGAAGCTGTTGCCGTTGTCGGTGAAGACATGCAAAATACCATATATAATAAATGTGGCCCAAAAATTCTTGTCACTAGAGGACACTTAACAGAAGTCTATTGTTCATTAAATTTTAAAGTTTAATGATTAAATTTTAACTTTTGATGCGTCATCTAATGAATATGTAGTTCGAAAAGTCAAACTTTTATAAAAACATCATTAATAATAATAGAAACATAATCACACCAAATTGCCTGGTCCTTGTGCTTAGATATAGAGAAATTGAATAGTGAACCTCTGGGGGTACCATTCAGAACTACCAAGACCTGAGCCAATTCAGAAAAGTTTATTTTCCAAATTTGCCTGACAGGAATTTGCCAGTAAAGTGATGTATCCACCACTGCACCACGACGGTCATTTATATAAACTCTACGTCTTTGTACAACTCACGCTGGCCATTCAGTTCGATTTAATTTGAAAACAGTCAATTCTCACTATTCTATGATAAGTGACTGCTCACGTTTATCTGCACCATTACACAATCAGGGTTCACTAATGACGTATTCTCAAACAGATGTTGCGGGACATGAGGGGCGCCGGCAACGAGGGCTCTCCACACAAGTTTCGAGTTCTGCAGCTGGCGTTGAACGCGGTGGCACTTCTCGCCATTACTGGTGCACTGTTCGCTTACTTCCGAGCCAACCCCGCGGTACAGGTCAGTAGCTTTACATTAATTGCCATCTGTTTATTAACTAACAGGTTTATTGGATTCAAAAGCATATATTTCTATGAGTGAAACGTTTTTTTCAAATTTTATTAAATAATTATAAATAGAATAAGCAAATTTTGTAAAAAGAAAAAGAAAAGTGACTGTAAACTAAACATCTGTAAGCTTTATTACTTTATGACCATAATTATGTCGAATATATTTAGACATTTGTCGAGTCAATTTTTTTTTTTTTTACCAGAAGCATCACTCGTCCGTTGCCGATCCTTTTGACATGATGATCTTGAATTACAATATCAAATAATTTCCTTGCTCCCTCGCGTGTTACAAGCAAACCATTTGGATGTACTATGAGGATGAATGGGGTATGTAGGATGAGAGGATGAGGTAAAACAGAAACATTATCACAGACGTCATTTTTTTAATTTTTTTTATGCAATTTAGAATGGCAAACAAGCTGACGGTCCACCTGATGGAAAGTCGTAACATGACAACATGAGCAGTACAATGGAAATAACAGAGTATACTGTTTCGCTCATGATACCCCCCATGCGTTGCCATTCCTGTGGACTCAGGTGTTATTCCTCTGTACCCAGTAAATTCACGCCATATCGCACCCTTCAAACCGAAACACAGCCATGCAAACACAATTGCTTTACGGTTGAAACACAAATGGGACAGTCTTCTCACGGTTCTTCTCAGTCATACATTGCTTCTCTTTTATCTCGAATCAGGGAGTTTACTAACTATTCTTACCTCTTCATTCAACACTACTTCGTTAAATATTTAAAGGTCGTAACAATAAACGTTTTAGAATTGGTTTAATTGTCATTAAAATTTAGACCAACATAGGGCACAACTAACCTCTCACTAACTAAAACTCTAAGGCCTTCTTTCCTGATGAGGCGAATGATCTGCCCACACTGACATTAATTTTATATCTCACTTACTAATCATCCTTACAAAAAACATAATTGAATCAATTAACAATTCCATAAATATTAATGGAAGGGAATGAATTAAAAGCCATATAAAAGGTATAATCTCACATCAAACGGACAATATTTCAACGTGAAATTAAAATGGCGGCGGATGAATGCGGATTAAATCTTGAGCTCGATTTGTTTATTTCACAGTCTCAGCCGTTTATTTACTTTTCCTTCTTAAATATATTATCAATTTGTAATTACAAGAAATCCACTGGATCCGTGATTAAATTATCAGATATAAAACTTATCTTACTTGACGATTTACGATGGTGCAATGAATTTGCGTATATAAATAAATTCTTTAGTAAGGTTACTAGGACCCTAACAATTTTTATATGTTTTGATATAGTAACTAAGTAAGTAAGTATCGAAAAAACTCGACTAGTTTTTTTTAATGGGTGAAAATGGCATGGTAGATCCGCCTGCGTTGTCGGTATACACTGGCTGGGCACCAGTAAGAAATGATAGATGAGGATAAAAAGGCAGGTCAGTTAGCCCATCGTGACTAATTCAACTATAAATTAGTCACGATAGTTTTCAGGGGAAATCGCGTGAAGTTCGACTTGATAGGGTACATTGGTAGTAGACTAACTTCCCCATTACTAACAAGCCCTTCCCCCAGCTCGACTGGTTTGAAGGGCAAAGCTGTGAGTACTGTATGTACACGACGACTACGGATCATTAGCAATGGAGTTTGACAGCCCCATTGCTACCAATATGCCTTATTAGGTCGACCTCCACGTGGTTCCTCCTGGAAACCATCGTGAACAATTCTTGTTGAATTCGTCACGATGGGTCACGTCACGATTATGCAATCCATTAGTTCCTGCCCTATAAAAAATATAATTACGAAAATAATGAAACCGATATATGATTTGCTATATTTATTCAAAATTATTATTGAAGGGTTGGATATGGCGTGAATTTACAGGGTACAGAGGAATAACATCCGAGTCCTCAGGAATGGCAACGCATGGGGGATATCATGGGCGAAACAGTATACTCTGTTATGTCCATGGTACTGCTCATGTCTATAGGCGACGGTTACCACTTTCCATCAGGTGGGCCGTCAGCTTGTTTGCCATTCTAAGTTGTATAAAAAAAAATTGAAATAATTTACACTTTAATAATCAATTTAGACATTTAAGTGAAATTATATTATTATAATTGTAGCTATTATAAAATATTGTACCTATTAAAATATATATTTACAATCAATAAATGATTGAATTATAACTCAATCATGTCTATAGGCGGCGGTTACCACTTTACATCAGGTAGGTCGTCAGCTTGTTTGCCATTCTAAGTTGTATAAAAAAAAAATCAAACACAATCAATTGAATATATATTAATAATAAATAAACAATACATCAACAAGAATCCATTTATTAATTAAATTAAATATTAAATAAATAATTTTTAAGTTTATGTATTACAAACAAATTATTATCTCTTTCCTATATATATATATATATATATATATATATATATATATATATATATATATATATATATATATATATATATATATATATATATATATATATAGGTAGGGTTTACCTTATCCTTTTAAAATTTTAAGTATAACTGCGGTGGTGGGAAAAGGATTGTTAGTAATGGAGACTGAGAATCACATTGCTAGCAATATACCCAACCTCGCGATTCTCCCTGGAAACTATCATGGTTAATTCCTGATGAATTCATCATGATGGGCTAATTGGCCTGTTTTCATTCTCATCTATTACCCTTCACTGGTGCTCCGCCAGCGTATCCCGTTAGTGCAGGCGGGGTTACCATACCATTTTCACCCATAAAAAAAAAATGTATAACTGCGGTTGTCAACCTACCCGTCAAGTGTGGCGACTACTGGCAAAACAAGGGGGCTTTGGTAGGACAATGAGGGTGGCCTATGTCCAGCAGTGGACAGTTAATGGCTGATATGATGACGACGATGACTACTTCACGTATAACATGAACATTTGATAATGCCCACCTTTAACCTTTATAGCAGCATAAAACCCACACACCCTGTTTTGTTCTATAACAAAAATTCAGTTACACAAAACAGTTTTCACTTGACAAATTTGTGAGGCTTCAGTCTTCAGACGTGAATAATAACCGTCCTTAGCCAAAGCCTTTGTTTGTTTTTGTTTCTGCCGCAGAAACTTTGGCTGTGAAAAGAAAAGTGCTTTGAGGAGCATTGGGAAATTATGCCTTTTTAGAAAGCTTTCTCTAATAAAGAAAAAGATTTTTTTTTGGCCCATGTGGGCTTGTTTGTAACTAAGGGCTAAATGATTTGTTGTAAATGAATTTTATAATATCTGACTGATCGTGTTTAGTAGCTAACTAGTTTTTTCTAAGTAATACTTGTGTATTATATTTTGATATTAATGATTGAGCCGTTAAGTTGTCAAAAGTTAACAAAGTTGAGGGTAAAATATTAGAAATATTATGAGTCTGAAAGCTTAGATTATAAAGATACGAGTGTCTCCATAGAAATGTTACGAGAAAAACGGCTCAACTTTTTCACACAATTTTGCGTGATAAATAGTTATTAGTGATTCCTTTATAACTTCTAAATTTATTTCGTCTTATAATTTTTGCATCTTTTTAATGTGTAAACATTCATTATATTTATTAAATAATACCTCAAGATACATTTAATGTGTAAGTGTATAAAACATTGATAAAAAAACAAGTCAGGCACTTTGACAATTAGCTGCCAATAAATTGACTCGTTTTTGTGGTTCGATGCTCTATTTATCTACATAATGTAAGTCTGAAAGTAAGATTTGTTATCACTCGAAATCTTGACAGTCTAACGATTTATTGTATTATAGCAAATAAATGGAGGAAAATGTAGTAACTTTTATACCGGTTATCTCCTATAAGATTATTTTTACCAGATGGAGACTTTGTACAAAAGTCGATTGCTTGGGTACCGCTGCCTAATTCGTGTTTCAACCGTAAAGCAGTTGTGTTCGCATGGCTGTGTTTCGGTTTGAAGGGTGGGATATGGCGTGAATTTACAGGGTACAGAGGAATAACACCTGAGTCCTCAGGAATAGTAATGCATGGGGGTATCATGGGCGAAACAGTATACTCTGTTATATCCGTGGTACTGCTCATGTCTATAGGCGACGATTACCACTTTCCATCAGGTGGGTCATCAGCTTGTTTGCCATTCTAAGTTGTATAAAAAAAACATATGAGATAATATTAAAACGGGTACTGCCTGTAGGGATTGGTCTACTCTGATCACTACAATTTATTTATTTGTTTTGTTTTAATTTTATACTTTATATTTAAAATTTTACAATCTAATATTGCTTAATAATTTATATTCACACAATTTCATTATTTATAAAATTAAACTGATTGAAAAATGCAACAGCTGAATTTCTTGCCCGTTCTTCTTGGTTGAAATTTCGTAACGAATGGGCGGTAATGAAAAAAATAACTTCATGAATTCAAAAATACTGAAACCTAAGTTTAATCGGATAAAAATATTTCTCTTTTTCTAATAGCAATACAAAAAATATAATATAAAATTTTAACGCCAATCGTCGAGGTGAAACGCTCCCAGAAAATATAAAGACCCACTTAGAATAAGAATCCGTTATTTTTAAGGATTCCATGCCCTTAAACCTACATTAACATTTGTGAATGCACACCTTTTCCGCGGTTAATATAAAGGGGTCGGTAAGCTATTCGAATGTGGCCGTTTGAAAGGCGGCCGTAATGTCCGCGGTCGAGGCCGACGGTTTATCACTGAGATTTTTCTGCATTGTCCATTATTAGATGCGATTTTTTGGGCTTTCCCTCTTTTCCGTTTGAATCGGTTAGCGGATTTACAATGTTCACATCTATATCTGTATAAAGGTAGTCACTTGTACTGTTTCATAAGTTTATTTTATTATTTCTTGAGCTTATTTCTCATAGGAGGTTTTCGATTCACCTTTATTTCTGAATCAGTTTTAACAGTTCTTATAAGAATGC